TTAAAGCCGGAGAATAAATAAAAGATTAAAAAAGGGGGGGATAAGTCGGGTCAACAGCTTGAGATTAAAGAAACAGAGGACTCGTTCTCCATGTGATCCCCACTTTTGGTTTTGGTCAGCTTTCTTTTTGCATTTTTCCCCACTTTCTTTTATTCAATTATTTTCTCACAACGTTCCTCTTTTTTTAGCCTTCTCATTAATGCCGGTGTAATAACGCCAGTTTCATAAGGCTATAATCATTCATGATTATCAATAAATTATCGCAAAGACCTCGTCTAGTGTTTCACATAGTTGACCCTACTCTATTCTTGCTTGGACATCAACCGGCTTTTCTACCCAAATACTCCCTCTGACCCTATTCAAAGAGTAAAAAGAAAATAATTTTTAAATCTTATTTATAAATTATGATATTAAATTTTTATCATAAATTTTTTTAATCTCAATTAAATATTAAAAAAATATATTATTAAAATATACATATTTAATAGGAGTAAAGTTAAAAACTTATTAAATTTTAATATAGAGTTAATAAATTTTAAAGTTTTTCTTAGTACTGATAAAATATGTTAGAAGTAACTTATAAATAGGATTAAAAAAGCACTATACTAAAAATCATTTAAACCAAGAATGAGTTTTTATTTGTAAAAAAACTCATTTAGATCAGGAATAATTTTACAGTCAAAAATTATTTTTTTTGTGAAAAGTGAAATCACAAGTTCACCTTTTTCTAGCAAATAAGACATAATATTTCCTATTCTATTTTCTTTCAGCCTACTCTATCAAGAGCTGAGTTACCTCATCCACAAATTTCTTGAGGTAGTCCGAGTGAGTGACGTGGTGGCTACTTATATACCTAACCACCAATTGAAAAAAAAATGTAGAGGAACAAGAAAGCATTAAAATTTTAGTTGATCTCATTATATGCTAGTCTCATCATTATCATTACCCCTTTTCACTTTTTTCAATTTTATTCAATTTGAGTTTCATTACATGCCACTCTCGTCATCATTCATTTTTAATTCACCCACTCCTACTCAACTTGAATTGTTCATATCTTTACTTGATAATTCTATACTTTTTTTACTTGAATATAACACTTTTACTTTTGAACGATCAAAATAGTGCAAGATCATTAAGTAAAGACATGAGCAATCCAAATACTCCAATGTTCAATAAGATTGATCAAAATTTTGAGGCTTGTGTTTATCTATATTTTCATTTTCAATTGGTAATTAAGTAAATAAGTAGCCACCACATCGCTTGCCTGGTCTATCTTTAAAAATTTGTGGATAAGGCAACTCAATTCATGACGGAGTAGGTTAGGAAAAAGTAAAATAAAGAATATTTTGTATTGTCAGTCAGAAAAAATTGAATTCATTAATTGAGTAAACAATTTCACTTTTCATTAAAAAAATTTGACTATAAAATTGCTCTTGATTTGGACAAGTTATTTACAAATATAAAAATGTTCCCAATTTGAATGATTTTTGGTATAGTACCTCGATAAATACTTTCCATGGTGCAACGTTTAGATAATTATTTTACTATTTATAGTATACACGTAAAAAAGCAAACATCAACCTCTTAACTACAGTTAATGATATGGTTGCAAGTTAGGTTGGTAAAAAAAATAGCTTGTTTACGTGTGAACCTATTTTGGCCTGCAATGTATAACCTAAACCCACAACAGTCTAATTCACGGGTTGGCAAGTTAGTTACACTTTATTATTTTAATGCTCCTTGATAAGCAAACACTATATTTGATAGGTTCATACGCTAGACATTGAAGAATAGTAGCTTGGAGATTTCAGTGTTTACTTGATCTCCTACACATAGTATCATGCATAAGTTATAGGTGGTTAGGAATCTAATACTTTACAAAGTAGTTCAATTATACTTCGTCCTATTCTATCAAAAAATTCTTTTTTTATGATTTAATATTTTATAAAATTACTATCATAATTTGTATTAAAATGTCTAAATAAATTTAAATTGTTAAAATTTGATCTGCTTAATTTAATTAAGAATGTAAACTATTATTGAAATATTCTATAAAGTGATTTTACTTTTCCAAATGCTCATCATAGTTTTAAATTATTCAAATAAAATGTCAACACTATAATTTTATTTGTATATTTTTATGTGAATTTATAGTAAAAATTTTACAAAACATTAAATCAGAGAGTGGTTAAAAATTTGGATCACAAGATAATAAAAGAAGAAGAAAAAAAATTATTTATGCATTCATTATTCAGCTATTATAAAGACGTGAAATTATCATCTTCAGTCATTAATAATAGTGTTGGAAGTGCATTAAGTTCTAATATGCCCACGTGGCAGTCGTCATACCTAAACTTCTTATTACATTTGTTTGCGATAAAGTAGATATTTATTTTAAATTATGTTAATGTATTTTAAATTTAAGCAGTGTTTTTTTAAGGATTTAGATGGATTTTTATTCTTATTTGGATAATTAGGTCATGTTTGGTATATTAGAATTGGGTCCAAGAGAAATGAAATTGGAATTGGAATCATACTTTCAATTGTTTGGTATGCATGAATCCAATTCCTTATGGATTCCAATTCTATCAAAATACCTAGAATTCAATTCCATCTCCATCATGATGGAATTGCCACAATTCCATGAAATTATCATAAGTGCCCCATATACATACTCCATCATGATGGCTAAGTTTTTTATTTTTTTATAAGGACATTTTGGTCTTTATCTATTTTAAATACATATATTTATTAATATTATATTCAGATTTCATCTTCATGCCAAACATACATTTATAACTTAATTCTATTCTGATTTCAATTCCGATTTCAATTCCAATTCCGATTCCGATTCCATCAAAAACTCTTCCATCATACCAAACGAGGCCTTAGTTGTTAAGGGGAAAATATGAATTTTTTACGGTTAAAAATTAATAAAAAGAGGTCAATTTATAATTTTAAAAATTAAAAAAATGTAAAAAAATATGTTTTACTGGTTGGTTAGCCAACCAACTCACAACATGTTAGGCTACGAGTTATACCAACTTGCACCATTAAGCTCATAACTTATGAGCTAGCCCATATCATCAATTCTACTCTTGACTATATTATTGAATGATGTAAATATAGATAAAATTGAACTAATATGAGTTCAATGCTGTAAACATAAAATTCATTTAACATAGAAAGATATTTATCCAAACACTAGCCTACCAAATATCCATGCATATTGGCTAACGCATAGTGTTACTTAGATTACCAACAATGCATTGTTACAAGACCTGCTCCTGAGTGTTATGAACTTAGATTTATTTACAAGGACATGGGTTAATCATCTTCTTGTTCTTTTTTTTTTTTGGCAATAAACACGAAACATCATTGAAATCTTTAGGGTTTACAAAGACAAATCAACTTCAATGAACAAAACAAAAATAAGAGAAATAACACGACAAGAAGACCCTAAACTGAACATAAAAAGAAAAGAAACGATACAATGAGGATCATCCTAAAGTTTAGAACGAAACTATAAAACAAAAACGTCACTATTATTATGAAAACTTCAAAAGATTCAAAGTTGGATTAGAAAATAGGATGTGGTTCATAGAATCATCCTAACAATTTTATTTTTATGTGAACAATAATTGCCACCCATTTAGTGAAATTATTACTCTCATACATTATATTCTATGTAAAGAAAACCAAAACTACCAGCAATAACAATAAACTAGTTATTAGCATCACAAAAAAATACCCCTATCTTTGCGAGCTTCTGCCTTCATTAGTAATTGAAAAAAAAAAAAACCAACCATATAAGTTTCTTGCCAGGAAAACAAAAATTATGAAAACCCCTAGAAACGCAACCACGAAAATTTTATATCAGGAATGTGGCGAGTATTCGGTTTTTAACTTTTTATAATTAATACTTACCAAATATAAATTTCTTATAGGCACGAACAGTTGACAAGAGGGAAATAAAAATATGTTGGCCAAAAATTTCCAAAACCATGTGCTGTAAAAAGATTTTTTTTAAAAAAAAAAATTAGGCGTACCTAATTTCTGTTCCCATGGATGTATGAAGAGCGCCGCTGCTAGATGAATTTGACCATTTTTGTATATGTGATCTAATCTTGAGATTTTAACTAATTATAAAATTCGCAATGTTCTTAATGCATATGAGCGAGCGAGGATTAGGATTTTGAGGACAGCTCTGCAAATCTTTGAATTTTAGATCCCGATTTAATAAAAAACGTCAAATAAAAACAAATATAAAGGGGGTTAAATTATTGAAATGAAGTCAACACGATGGATAACTCCTCCCTTATGAAACGCAGAGTCTGTTGAAACACTCATTGTGCATGATTCAAATACACGCATTTCCCAATCCTGAAAGCCTTGACGCAAATAGTCTAATACAATGTCACTGTTCAACGTAAACGCTTGAAACTTCTAACACTATAATTCAAACGCTAGTATTTACTTATTTATTGACAAATTTGACACTTTTACCCAGTCTAACTTTCAAATTATTGTTTGCGTGGATGGATGCTTGAAAAATAAAATATATTTACCCATGAGAAAAAGACAAGCATAACCTTCATTTTAATATTTTCCTTCATTTCAAAAAAAGAAAAGAAAAAGAAAAGGACAAACATAACCTTCGCATTCTAACTTTAAGAAAGAAACGATCGAAGTATTAAAATTCAAGTCTTGCTAAAGAAAAAGATATTAAAATCACAAAACTCTAGAAAAGTATTACTATTACTCTAAAAAGAAAAAGTCCAACTCAAGTCTGGCTCCAGTTTGATTTTCAACAGTCAACAGTAAAAGAGAACGCACATTTTTTATCACCCTGTTCTCACCTTACCACACATCACAATCCCCACACCGTTTCCAACACATCTCATCCGTCAGATCAGAAAACCCCATTTCGTATTCTCTCCCCTCTACCCGGTCGTCCGGTTACCTCTCGACCCTTATATCTCCCCCTTGGCCACAAGCGACCTCATTCTTTCTTTCTTCTAACCTATCTCTGCAATTCCCATGGCGATTTGAGTTTCGATCGCTGATTTCACTCATCTCTCTTCCCTCTATTCCCCTTGCGAAGCACAGAAATGGCGGTGGAGCTCATGGGGTTTCCGAAAATGGACGAGCAGACGGCAATTCAGGAGGCTGCATCGGAGGGATTGAAGGGCATGGAGAATCTAATCCGTCTTCTCAACCACAAGCCCAATCTCGTAGACTGCTCTGATCTCACCGATGTTACTGTTTCTAAGTTCAAGAAACTCATTTCTCTTCTAAATCGCACCGGCCATGCCCGGTTCAGAAGAGCACCGATTCTCTCCTCTTCCAGCTCGTGTCCCCTTTCTACTCCAAAGTTGCCGACGCCATCATCCACTGCGCCCTCGTCGGCCAACATTTCCACACCGCAAATTCCGAATCTATCACCGGCGCAGTTCGCCTCTCCGGCGCCTATCGTAAATCCAGTAACCGTGCATCAGGCTCCGATCAACAACAGCACTGCTCCATCCGGTTTCGTTCCGGCTCAGTCACAGTCTCTGACTCTCGATTTCACAAAACCTAATATATTGAGCTCCAACACGAAGTCTCTAGAGCTCGAGTTCTCTAAGGAAACCTTCAGCGTGTCTTCAAACTCATCGTTCATGTCGTCGGCCATCACCGGCGACGGTAGCGTATCGAACGGCAAACAAGGATCGTCGATCTTCCTTACACCGGCGGCACCAACGGTCTCAGGCAGCGGGAGGCCACCCCTCTCGACCGTACCGACGAAGAAGAGATGCCACGACCACCGCGAGCACTCCGATGACCTCTCCGGCTCCAGCAAGTGCCACTGCGCAAAGAGAAGGTACACCACGAAATCACCCTCTAACCTCTTTAAAATGTAAAGCGAGTCGACTCGGCAAAGCGGTCTCGTAGTCAACGATTCCGGTGGTGGTGCAGTTGAGGCACAACCAGCCACAGACGCACCACGCGCGTGATGGCGACAAATTATAGTACCGCTTTTGTCCCCGAGCGAATTTTTAGAAATTTTGTCTGAAAACATCGAGAAGTTCAAGCTTACCCCGAAATGAATATCGCTCCTGTCTTTATCTGGTCACTTGTTTTGACTGTTGACCTTGCAAATATTATTGCACCGGCACGCGTTATCAATATCGGCCCTTTACGACAGTTGTGTTTTTCAATTTCCTTCAGGAAGAATCGGACGAAGAAGGTGGTGAGAGTGCCGGCGATTAGTTCGAAGATTGCCGATATTCCGCCGGACGAGTACTCGTGGAGGAAGTACGGTCAGAAGCCGATCAAGGGGTCGCCATATCCAAGGTGAGCAAATCGAGTCCGTTGAGCGGGGTGTCAAGTGTTGTTAATGGGGTGTTTTTTTATGTTGTCTAAGGTTGATTTGGACTGTTGAAACAGGGGTTACTATAAGTGCAGCACGGTGAGAGGGTGTCCGGCGAGGAAGCACGTGGAGAGGGCCCCAGATGATCCGGCGATGCTGATCGTAACCTACGAGGGGGAGCACCGTCACGCGTTGCAGGCCGCGATGCAGGATAACGGAGCCGGGGGTGTTGGGTTAGTCTTCCAGTCAACGTGAGAATGGTGGAATTGGGGAAAAGGAGGAAGAAGAAAAAGAAAAAAGAAAAATGAAGGGATGTTTTGGTTGTGATATTTTTGTAATATGAAGGGAGTTGCCGGGGTTGAATTGTAAATCTGGTCTTGGATGGAAAGGATCATATAATATTACAATTACAATTTCCCACACCCAACTGAGGAGATTTTTGTTATTATTAAAAAAAAAAAAGGTAAGTGAGAGAGAGCGACTTTTATATTTATGATTGTTGACTGAGGATCCAATGAGATGGTCAAAGGAGTGGAGGAAGGCCAATGAAATGCTTTGAAATTGGTTGCCCCGGGGATCCAAAGGTGGGAGCATCCCTTAAAATATATGCCACTTGGCAGAGCCTTCTGCCACCACGTCTCTTCTTGATTCATTTCCCTGGGGGAGTTGACTCTCAGCCCTCAGCCACCCATATATAATAAGTCTTTATTTTTAATTAGATTTTGAGTTTTTTTGCTCAAAAAAAAAAGGGAACATTAGATTTTGAGTTTTGACCCTACAGTTCCATGATATTTCCTGGGAAAGCAACCAGTGTATCCATTTAGATGCTCCATTTTCATAGCAATATCATTCTGAGTCAGCCAATCAGGCATGCTTTCTCCAAGCAAAGAGGCTTGTAAATCATTTATAGCTATAGCAACATTTACCTGTATCTATTTAAACTATGGCAATAGAGAGAATGTAACTATACAAGTGCTTCCTTGGAATATGAAGAGGTGTTTATGGAGGACCAGAGCAAAGGCCTGAAGCAAGCAGAGTTTTTGGCGGGAAAGTTCACCAAACTATACGTGATGTCAATGCACAGTTGGTGTGAAAGGAAGATGTAAATGTCAATGCATGATCTTCTTGATGATTCCATTTCATCCATAAAGTTCTGAATTTTTTTCTTTCACAAATAGCATTCCAGAATATATTCAAGTTCCAAATTTCCAATACGAAAACTTTCAGACTCGTGGCAAAATTATTATTCAGTTGGGATAGAGCTAATTTTAGAACCTGTTTGATAAGACAAATGATTTTTAAAAATAAGTTGGGCAAGTTCATAGAATCATAATATTGTTTTTATTTAATATATATAATATTAAAATACCAAAATGCCCCTATTCCAAAAATAAACCCAGACTTGTAAAACTATCCTCCACCATTGGTGACCCCAATCCCCAATGGAAAAAAACAAACCCAAATCAACGTCCACCTTCATCATTGGAAACCACCATCAGACCCCAACGTCGTTGGACCTCTCAAGGTTGAATGTAAGGCATGGGTTCATCTTCATTTTACATTTTACACCACAAAAAAACCAAAAAAAAAATCAAATCTACATTTGCGCTTCAAAAATGGTTCCGACGGCCTTCACCGTTGATGGTTTCGGTGAGCTCAGTTTCGTGTTCGCTGGACAAAAAATGGTTCCGGCCACCTTCACCCCAAATGAAACAATCACAATTTCTGCTCGCATCATCAAACTCATGAGCCATGCTCAAGTGAAGTGATTTCTTTGATACTAGAACTTATTCAAACTTATCATTTGTTTCCAATGCCAATCGTTGAAAAGCCAAGGCCAACCAAGAAACAAAATAATTGTTCCTTTTCTTTTGAATGGAGGGAAGGAAAAGAAGATAAGATGAAAGGAGGGATGATTGTGAGTATCTTTAAAGAACTCAACAGAAGGTGTCACTGTCCCACATCCCTCGTTACAAACCTAGCTGAGTAAGTATTGAGGAATAAAGCTTTGAAAAAAAAAGGCCAACTATTATATATACGGTGAAGGCAAACCACATGGTCACAATCATGTATAAATCAACATACATGTTGTCGTTGTCATCACACCATCTCCTCAACCCATCTCCAATGCATGACATGCATAAATAATAATCACAATGCATGCAAACAAGTTCTAGAGGAAATATAATATCTGGCATAATCATAGCAATAAGTTACAAGCATGGTTGACTAGATTAAAATAATTCATTAAATTTCATAATCACATCCTTTACAGTTTCTCAACAATTTGTCATATAATCTATATACATGTATCATAACTAGATAAAACATACATGAGCATATTTGTATAAGTTATCACAATAAATATAGTTGGTACACATGGAAAAACCTCAAGTTATTTGTTTTCTTTGAGCTTACGAGAAATTACACAATAAGAATCCAAGCAATGAAAGTATTAGGGAGAGCCTAGTCTTAAAAAATTTAAAATCATCCTTTAAATATCTGACTATAGCATATGTTTTAAAATTATAGCCTTTGCTTGGAACGCTCGTACTGACACTTCTTCATGCCCCTGCTGCCCAAAACTGTCTTCAATGTGTTATGCATGCATGTATTAGGGTAGATTAAATTGAAATGAGAGTAGGCTTGGGCCCACACCCAAAATAATTTCCATCTTTGTTTATTTTTTTTAATATATATTACATCATAGACAAATATTTTTACATAGTCGAGTATGCATATGTGTTATTTATTTATTATCTATTCATTCACACTCTCTCTTTTATATCTTATTGTTATTGTTGTTGTTGTAATATCTTTTCAACTGAAATTAAATCTTTATTATTTGTTTTACTTTGATAAATTCTCCTTTTAGAATTATTTTATTTATTTTCTACCCTAATCATCAATAAATGCTCAATAATTTGCTATACTCGTAATTTTATTTCCATACCTCAAAATTATCTATAATTATTTTATTATTTATATATTAAAATTTAGGATATTATAGAATTCGTTCAGGCCAGGAACAATTTTGTAATAAAAAATTATTTGTTATTTAATGAAAAGTGAAATTATTCCCTAGGTGAATGATTTTAACTTTTTTATTGACATCACATTCTATTCGTTGTTAACCCAAAGAATCTTTGCTTTTCCTTTTTGCTTTGCTTTTCCTGCGTGATTTATTCAAGCATGGGATAGATAGTCATTTATTAATATTAATGCTCCTCTAACACTTGATGAATTTGATAGAACATTTGAATACATACAATGATATTGGAGATATACTTGACAATGGATCTAGCATGTTAGTAGTGACATTAGGAATGCGGTAAGTTTTTTACCTTTTTTCCCTAATACCATCTTTTTTTTTTTAAAAAAACTGCTATAATCTAATGTCTTATTATTTATTTTAGACTAATGTAGCAAAAGAATTATACAGGCTAACAATTAATCCTCATTTAGAACACTCTCATTGCATTGATTATCAATATGGGGTTGCTCAAGACCAATGCAACACCTTACTTGCAATGAGAGGACAACAATTTAATAAGGACCTTTAGTTTGCTCCACCAAGAGTTGAGTTGCCTGGTCCAAATATTTCTCGAAATAGACCTAGCAAGCGATGTGGTAGCTACTTGTCTACCCATGTAACACACCAAATTTTTTTTTAAATAATTTAACTCAACCATAGTTGGGTTACAGCCACCCAACACATTTTTATATCAATAATTTCAATATAAAATATTTTATAATTGGCTTTAACTTACACACTAAACATAACATCAGATAAATTTTTACCTCCCACATGCCATTAGGCTAAATCACATTTGTCCATCCTTATACTCCCAACAAGTAAACTAAGCAATTTAGTCAATTTTCAACACAAGCCAGTTATTTGACCTTATAATCATGCCATTTTAATCAATTCAAAGTAAACCATAAATTAAAATTACAGTCATCCAAATTGTATCAAAAATAAAAATAGTTTGAAAGGCATGATTACATTTATATATTCATATAATTGACAATAAACAAAAAGCCCTAATATTGGCAATATAACACATTATAAATCATAAATAAATACCCAAAAGAGACAGTGGATCTATACCACTAAGCCTCTGGGACTCCTCCACGTGTCACTCGTGGCTCTCCTCCTGAAAATTGTTAACCACATAATGAGACTCAAAAGTCCCAGTAACCAAAGCCAATTTATGATAGTGTATACAAACAGTTAAGTGTGTGCTTACTAAGTGAGAATTAAAAATAATATAACTCCAATAAATATAAGAAATATTACAATACACACATATAACCATCCTTATATCCCTCCATTAACCTCGAGCCGTAGCCCTCACTTGATGCTAAATTACCCGGCCAAAGGTAGATTAGCCCGACCCTTACAAGCCACCTATTGAGCTCCAATAGGGGCGTACCACGTGGCACATAAATACAACAACAATAGCAAGTCTCCCAACACCTCCCACAATAATTAAACAAATTCATAATAATATTGTAAAATTATACAATATTACAAAATTCATAATTTTCTCAATAATCACCCAATTAACGTGAAGTAACACTAATCACAAATTAAAAGCATGGTTACCTTGTGGCTTTTTTAATAAATTATTCCTTAAAATTTCTCTCTCACCCACAATCTTCACCAGTAATACAATCTACAAATAACATATTATTTATAAATATTAGTTTCAATTTTTGAAACTAATAAAATAATTCTAATAATAGAATTAAAAATGTAACATAATTTATAATCTCAATCTTAATACAAATCTAGAGTTAACACTATTAAGTAAAATTTTTAACTCCTCTTTTAATTATCAATAAACATTAATAATCTAAAAATCAGCTTCTAAACTAATTTCTATTATCAAAATTTTCTTTTTATTTCATAAATTCGTACCTAAAATATTCAAAAATTAAAAATTGAGTTTCTAACTTAGAATCATAATCCTATAGCCATAATAATTCATTTCTCATCCCAAATAATCATCTAAACCTCAATAAATCAACATATATTTTTAGATCTAGTTTAGAATTTGATCTATAAGCCACAAATTCAAAGATCATCAATAAATTTATACTCTAGAACATTTATTATACTACTGATAACCTCAAAAATCATATTTATTTAACATAAATTCATCCCTCTTCCAGATCTTAAATTTTCTACCACTACAAACTCAGAAACCAAAGAAGAAAGATGACTAAGAAAAAATTTTAGAACACTTACTTAATCTTGAAAGGCTTAAAATCACACCCTAAATATCCTATTAAAAACTCTTACCTTAAAATCCAGCACCAACGAAACTAGACGCTCTCTCTGCCTCAGCTTGCGCACAGGGAAGAATGAAGAAACGAAGAAGTGAAGAAAGAAGGAAGGAGGTGGGTTTTTTAAAAAATTTAGTGGGTCCCACATTTTTTTTTATTTCTTCTTTCTCTCTCTTCTTCTTCTTTTTTTTTTAATA